CAGGCTTTGTACCAAATTTTGGATGGAATTGTTAGTGACAAAGGGGAGTAAAACAACTCTTTTTGTGGGGGCTGTTAATAATTCTGTGAAAGTCTAGTATCTTTAGAATGTATGGACCGAAGCAATTCTTGAAGGATAGTGGGTCTTTCAGCACAGTTCCACTGGGCCTGATCTTTCATTCTTCAAGTGCTTTCTGTCAACAATATATTTAGAGATGACTTCACATGTTTTAATCCAGAGTGTTTTTAAAACCCAGTGAGTTCCACCTAATTTTGTTTTGTTCAGGAGCAGTGATATTATTAAGGAGGTTGAAATGGTCAGAAAGAGCCAACAAAGGCGGCTGTTTCACCCATAGATGTGGAGCATTGCGACCCTGAGTCAACAAAGCACTTGACAGGTTTCAGAGTAGCAGCTGTGTTAGTCTGTATTCGCAAAAAGAAAAGGAGTACTTGTGGCACCTTAGAGACTTACCAATTTATTTGAGCATAAGCTTTCGTAAGCTACAACTCACTTCATCGGATGCACTTGAGCGCATGTTTAATTTTAAGAACAAAAGTAGTCCCATTGCTTAAAATTATGTATTTACTTAGGTGCTTTCTGGGATCTGGGCCTGAGAGCACCTTACAGAGTTGAATCTGTATAGTACTATGGTTCTCTCTAGGTCACAATTTTAGGTGGGGTACATCAGATATTGGCATATGATGGCATATATCACATTGGTAGATGTGCAGCCTGCACATTATCCCATTATCATTATCCCATATGTGCCCCTTTGGCACAAGGGGTACCCAGATGGTGCAGCCTGCACATCTACCAATGTGATATATGCCATCATGTGCCAGCAATGCCCCTCTGCCATGTACATTGGTCAAACTGGACAGTCTCTACGTAAAAGAATGAATGGACACAAATCAGACGTCAAGAATTATAACGTTCAAAAACCAGTTGGAGAACACTTCAATCTCTTTGGTCACTCGATTATAGACCTAAAAGTGGCAATTCTTCAACAAAAAAACTTCAAAAACAGACTCCACTGAGAGACTGCTGAATTGGAATTAATTTGCAAACTGGATACAATTAACTTAAACAATAAAACAATAAAAACTGGGAGTGGATGTGTCATTACACAAAGTAAAACTATCCCTCCTCCCCACCCCCCCGAACTGTTCCTCAGACGTTCTTCTTAACTGCTGGAAATGGCCCACCTTGATTATCACTACAAAAGGTCCCCTCTCTCTCCTGCTGGTAATAGCTCACCTTACCTGATCACTGTAGTTTCAGTGTGTATGGTAACACCCATTGTTTCATGTTCTCTGTGTATATAAATCTCCCCACTTGTATTTTCCACTGCATGCATCTGATGAAGTGAGCTGTAGCTCACGAAAGCTTATTCTCAATAAATTTGTTAGTCTCTAAGGTGCCACAAGTACTCCTTTTCTTAATGACATTGAGTCCAAGCATACTGAAAAATAATAGCCTGGACAGAGTTGCCCTCTAGTGGTAATTGTTTTAAACAGCAGTTAGTTAGCAACTATTTAAACTAAATGGAAGACAACCTGTCTTGAAATAACATTCTTAAGTATGACAATGAGGGTGAGGTAATATCTTTATCTGGACCAACTTCTGTTGGTGAGAGAGACAAGCTTTCGAAAGCTCAGCTCTCTTACCAACAGAAGTTGGTCCAATAAAAGATATTACTTCACTCACCTGGTCTCTCTAATACCCAGGGACTGTCACAGCTACACCAACACTGCCTACATTCTTCAGAATGTTTTTAATTGAATTGTGTGCTTTAAAAAAACCAGAATTTCCATACCATAATAAATCATACCTAGCGGAGTGCAACAAAGCAAATGTCATGGGAGTCTGAGCAACTTTGATACATTAGTGGGACAGAAACTTCATCCCTTGTTCACTATCTTGAATCTAGCCCTCGCTGGTAGTAACCAAAGGTTACTACTGTCTGACAGCGGCATAGGAGCTCTAAGGTTCATGCCCACTTCCCGACACTTGAAGGGACACCAAAGCATTCAGTGGATTATGACAACAGTATTTATATCCTCTTACGCAATAATAACAGCCTTGTCTGCTTTCATTTTTGTGAATGTCAGTCATCAGGGTAAGCACTAAGGCACAGTGGTAATGATTATATATGTTTACTTGGTTCCCAGAATGAAGAGACTCCATTGGGCACAGTTAGGCAGCTGGCGATGCTGCCTAACTGACCTATACTCCTGTACCCCATCTTTCTATGGACTATTCTAGACCAGAAGTTCCCAAACATTTTTTTGCTGCACCTCCCTTTAGAGATTCCTTATCCCATATGTGCCCCTTTGGCACAAGGGGTACCCATATGGTGCCCAGAGGAAAGGAGAAAATCCCCACATGAGCAGCCGGGGTGGGAGGAGGCTCACACACATCCCGTTTGAATCCCAGCTACGTGGAATGGCAACTTGTGTTCATTGGTTCCACCCCCTCCAGGCGTGTGAGGCCTTTGCTGTGGGGCCAGGCCCATGCACAGGGTCCCTGCCATGTTGATTTCCAGTGCAGTCATGGGGGGAGTGAGAGTGATAGAAAAGGAGGGAGTTCTCGCAAGGCTGTGCAGTTCCCATGATAGCTGGCCAGCAATAGGATGGTGGCTCAGGGCTGAGCATGCTGGGTAATAGTAACTGGGATGGGGGTGGGGGGAGAGAGCAGGGATTCTGGGACCAACCTCCCCCCCCCCCCCCCCGCCTTAGGGCACAAGGGGACAGGGTTGAGCTCTCCAGGGAATTGGACCAGCATACACTGGATACCATGAAGAAACAAGAAAAAGTTAACAACTAGTCAGGTCCTTGCATCTCCTTGATAATCATGTCTGCCCCACAATTTGAAAACCAACATTCTAGACCAGAGGTGGGCAAATTATGGGCCGCGGGCCACATCCAGCCCACGGGACCCTCTTGCTCCGGCCCTGAGCGCCTGCCCCAGGAGGCTAGCCCCCGGCCCCTCCCCTGCTGTTCCCCTTCCCCCGCAGCCTCACCTCACCGCCGGCACAATGCTCTGGGCGGCGGGGCTGTGAGCTCCTGGGGCAGCACAGCTGCAGAGCCTGGCCTGACCTGGTGCTCTGAGCTATGTGGTAGCAGCGGGGCGTGGCCCGGCTCCAGAGCCGCCAGTCACGGGTGCTCCAGGCAGCGTGGTAAGGGGGCACGGAACAGGCAGGGTTGGATAGAGGGCAGGGGAGTTTGGGGTGGTGGTCAGAGGGTGGGGTGTGGATAGGGGTCGGGGCGGGAACAAGTTGAATGGGGGCAGTGATCCCGGGGCGGCTGTCAAGAAGGAGAGGGGGGTTGGATAGGGCGGCAGGGGGCAGTCAGGGGCAGGAGTTCTGGGGGCCATTAGGGAACAGGGGGGGGTTGGATGGGGCAGGAGTCCCGGGGGGGGTGGCGGGGGGGAAGATAGGAGGTGGGGGCCAGGCCACAACCCCCTCCCCTAACCGGCCCTCCATACAATTTCCAAAACCCCATGCGGCCCCCAGGCCAAAAAGTTTGCCCGCCCCTGTTCTGGACAGTTCCTTGCTTCCCCCTAGTGGCTGGATTAACAGAGCTGCCCCTTTAGTTTACCATGTGCAAAACAGAGGTTTTGGAAAAATGTTTGAATCCCAGTGCTTCCTCTTATTAGTAATGAGCCAAAACTAGGATTTGAACAACCCCAACTCTGGAAAAGACTGGAGCCCGATCCATATCTGACCTCTGTGGCTTATTTCTGAAAAGGGCCGAACTTGAATCCACGGATATGAATGTTCCTGAACTTTGGAAGAGTTCAGATCAGTATCAGAACTTTGCAGCTTGGGCCCATTTCTGTTCTTGATGTTGCTATATGATTATAGTAATGAATCATTATAGGCCTTCTTTGACCTTTCCACAGCTGATTTCTAGATGCAATAATAACACCCATTGTTTCATGTTCTCTATGTATATAAATCTCCCCACTGTATTTTCCACTGAAGACATCCAATGAAGTGAGCTGTAGCTCACGAAAGCTTATGCTCAAATCAATTGGTTAGTCTCTAAGGTGCCACAAGTACTCCTTTTCTTTTTGCGAATACAGACTAACACGGCTGCTACTCTGAAACCTGAATATTGAGTTGTCATCACTTACATAGCTATTAGGTTATAGTGTCACTTAAAGTGTTGCTCTACTCTGAAAAGATATTCTGTAAAAATGGCATGATGAGGTGGAGCTCCCATGTTTGTGTGTGTCTCTCCCTCAGTGACAACAGATCAAATTTGCTCAGTACAAAGATATTTCTTCTAATTGCCAGCCCTGTAAACTCAACCTCACATATCAGAAACTAGCTATGTTATTTCATTCTCATGCACCATGATCAGAAATAACAGACCTGAAAGCCAAATTATGTCTGTAGATACATTTGTGCAACTCCATTGCCTAGAGTGAGGTTGCACCATTATAACTGGCCTGTAATCAATGTTTAGAAAAGAACTTTGTTAATGCATGAGAAGGGACAGGATCCAGTTCTTGCTTCTAGCTATGTTGGCCTTGCCTGAGCATGAGGAGTGAAAAGCACTAAAATCTTATTTCTGTCACTAAAGTTGGCAAATATGACTTTGACTATACACAAGAAGCAGATCTGCTGAATTACAGTATCTTTGCATAGTCATCATCTGAGGAGAACTGATCTATGTAGCAAATTATTATGGTAGCTCTAACTCTCCACTTCATCTTTACCTAACTGCTGTTGTCTTTCCCCACCTCCCAAAAATGGGGGAAGTATAAGAAACAGGAGAATCTTTCTTTTAGCTTTGGGAATTTAAATTATAGTCCTCTTCCCATTTACTTTGCCTGTATATCAACTTTCAAGTATATTATTTTAAGTTGACATGTGACTTCTACTGATACAGATTTTCAGAGAGCAAAGAGCTGTCACAAGTATGTTGACTGTTATCTGTGCTCATTTAAAGACTGACACTGTTTTGTGGATTGTTGTTGTTTTTTATCCCCAGGGTCAGTGGACTTTCTCCTTTCATGGGAGACAATGACAATGAAACTTTAGCCAATGTTACCTCAGCAACCTGGGACTTTGATGATGAAGCTTTTGATGAAATCTCTGATGATGCCAAGGACTTTATTAGCAATCTGCTAAAGAAGGATATGAAGTAAAGCTGTTGAATTTGACATACTTTGCACTTCCATATTTAACTGAATTTGTACACCTCTTGCTCCCACGCTCTGTAAAAAAAAAAAAAAGGGGGGGGGGATACTCAAACACCTTGGGGAGCAATGAATAAGGAGCTCTGAATGCTCCAGCACTTTTGTGTCTTTTTCTTGGTCACCACAGCCATCATTCACTTGACACTGCACATACTGGAATGGAGCACTTTAGTGTCTGCTCATTCTTTTCACTTCCTTTCCCTCAGGGATGGATACGTATGCCAAATACATCCCATGGAATTGTACTATGTGGTTTAAGTGGTCATCCTCATTAATATAGTGATGTAGTACATGGGAGTTAAAGATCCCAGCATGAAATGCTGCTTCTTGATTTGAGTGGATTGCAATAGGATTTTGTTTTAATTTTCTCAAGCCCTGTTTTTAAATCTGATGCCCCTGAGTGGATGGCTTTGACATGACAATACATTTCTTATGACTCTCATAAAGTTCAGTTTCACAAAAGCCATGGTCCACCACCCTTTTTATTAATAGTAGCAAACATTTATATTATAGTAGTGCCCAAAGGCTTCAGTCAAGATTAAAGCCCCATTGTTGTGAACACTGAACATACCTAGGGAAGAGACAGTTCCTGTCTTGGAGGCCTTACAATCTACATGATACAAAACAAAGTGTTATATACCTATAACTTATAAGCAAGTGAATACAGAGGTGAACTGTCACAGCTTTGTTAGACATATGTGTTTGTTAAATTTTATTTAATGGGTGGGATAATTAAGGTGAGGCATGGCAGGAATAGGAAAGTTAGTAAGAGAGTAAAAAAAAGAAGAGGAACTGTCACTATTCATCACCTGCTAAGCCATGATCAGCAAGCAGGGTTTTGTAGGCATTGTAACAGAGATGATTATGCTGTGGCTATAATGTATGGCTCTTTTTTGACAATATTTTATTAATATTTTTACAATGTGTGGCCTTCCCCACAAAAAGCCTTCAAAATCCGTTAAACTTGGCATAGACAGCGAGTGTAACAGATAGTAAGTAACCACAGCTAGTAAGCAGCTGTACCATTAAGGCTAGTTTAATAAAGTATGCAGAGATCTACTGCTTAAAAAAGAAAAGGGGAAACAATAACATAAAAGCAAATAGGTTCTATCCTGTGTATTGGCAACACTGACTTAGTCTCTTTACATAAAAACAGGAGCCGCTTAGATTGTACTCAATGTCTTCAGCATCCTTGGCTGCAAAAAGACACCAAAAACATGGAAGCCAAAAAACTTTCCAAAGATAGGATGAAGAAATATATGGCCAGAAGAAAATGGCAGGTAATAAAGAGGGCAAGGAAGTGGGCTAGATGCCCTAATAGGTCTCTTCCATTTCTAGCTTCTGTAATTCTGAGACGTATCATTACAGAGGGCTTCTGCTGCTAATGAAAATCCAGTTGCAGCCAGTGCACAGCTGCAATAGAGCAGCTATGTTTTTTATTGCTAATGTAATAGCAGGGGCAGTAGCAGAGGTGTGGGTGCATAAATGTCACAAGTGCTATCACAAGGCTACTACAAGGTTTTGATTCTAAGTAGGGATTTTCCCTGTCCCTGCGTATGAGGGTCCTTGGAGGAGGAAGCTTCTTATGCATGGAACCTTGCACCCCTCTCCACATTCACAGTAGGGCTAGGGATAATCAGGTCCCTAATGGAGCTGACCAGAAAGACACTTTTAGCGGGATTTGTTTTCCTAATCCAGAGACTCCCATCCTCTCTGGGCACCGAGATCTTTTATTGTTCTTCTCAGACATTCATGAATCCCCCATCAGATGGCTTAATTAATTTTTATTTAAATGTTTTGTCCCCGCATCTTCTGTTTCCTTGATGCTGGAGCCACTGTAGGAGCTCCATCTGGGCTGTTCTCATGGATGCAGTAGCAGATCCAGTGGCATGGATCAAATCTTTTGACCAGCTTACAAAATACTGAGCAATATATGTTCATCATGTACCTTCTACACCATATACATCCCTATTTATAAATTTTGACGGGTGCCTATACAAACCTTACAAAGGAGATTACACTTAGTATCTATACCATAGAGTCTATCATATCAACATTTTTTAGCATTTTGCATTAGCTAATATCATGTCATTTCAGAGGCTTGCCAAGTTAAATTCTTCTAACATGCAGATGGCACTTGCTCATTCATTTCACACTAGCTGGTTACTCATTGTGGGTGAAGTTCAGCCCCGTAGAGTGGGCCAGCACAAGGCTTATCTGCTATCTAAGCCCTATGTAGGTTTTAATATGAGGCATTCTCTGGTTCATAGGCTTTGTGCTGACCCACTGCAAAGGGATGCATTTCATCCTCTGTTAAGAACAGTGATGAACCTTGTGTCTGAATCCTTTGTGAAAGTTTATATCTGCACCTCAACTTGGCAGCTCAGGCCTGTCTCTCTAATCTAGAACAATAGAATGACTTAATAAAGAGTCTGTCCATTGACCCCCATAGGCTTTGGATCAGGCCCTAAGTCATTTGTCCACAGTCCTCCTGCTACAGAAAAGATGTGTACCCATGAGGTTAAACTCATGAGAAGCCTCTGTGTTATGTTTCAGAAAACAGGTCATGCTGTCCGAGCCATAGGGAGACTATCCTCCATGGCAATGATTTCTGGTCTGAGTGGAAGGAAGGCCTCTACAAGCTCACCTACCAGTCCTATAAATAAAGATAAAGTAGACCTGGATGGTAAGGAACTGCACTGAATTGTAAAAGGTAGTAATAATTTTATCTATACAATGTCCTCTACCAAGTCTGAACAAAGAGTTTAATGATAAAAAACCTTTTAAACTGCATCTGTCATATAAAACCAAACAAAATCCTAAAGACTATTGGAGACTAACAAAGTTGCATCATTAAGCCTGTGTGTGTGTATGCGCGCGCGCCCATCAGGATTGATCAGTTGCTCAGAATGGTTCACTGCACATTCTCGGAGGCAGAAAGTGCTTGCTGTAATGCCAAGTAATAAAGGCACATTTGTCAGCTCTACTTAAATCAGCTTTGGAGAGTGTTTTTTATATACATAATGTGTGTGGGTTCACGATATAATATTTTGCAAGGGGTGTATTTAGTTCTCATACAAATAACAGCACTAGCTGTGTCTAGGAGTGGAATGCAGGCAGTATTTTGTGTATCTCCATGCACAATGCTGCCAGGGCTTCTCATACAAGGGCCAAAATTTTCAAATACATGTGCCTAAAGGTAGGCACCCAAATCTGTATTTAGAGACCTTAATAAATGACCTGATTTTCAGGGGTGCAGCTTGCAGCAGCTGCCATGTAAGTTAATGTGGATGGCAGGTGTGCAACCCCTCAGAAAATCAGGCCATTTTTTTGGGTGCTTACATATGAACTTTGAGTTTCTAAGTCAGCCTAATTGCCAGGAAATGCCCAGCCTAATGGTCATAGACAAATATAAGGAAAATAACTAAATTACATTATGTTGCACTTTGCCATGTGTACACAACTCATTCTGTTTGATAATCTGAATCTTTGTCTGGCTGTTAAAGACTAGCGCAAAAGGGTGACATAGTCCCACTATTCCATTAATTTTATAGCATTAAGCGTAATGAAAAAAAAGCTGCTTTCTGCAATTGTTTGGTTATTTAAAAAACCCCAACCTCATTCCTAGGGAATTTCAAAATAACTAAGCCTCCTTTACTTCCTCTAGATGATGCTGCCAGGGCTTTCCTTGAAGCACTGGCAGAGGAAAAACCCCATGTAAAGCCATATTTTACTAAAACAATCCTGGACATAGAAGTTGTGGAAGGAAGTGCTGCTAGATTTGACTGCAAAATTGAAGGTACTTTAAATTAATGTCTGTGTCATCATTTTGCTTTCTCCCCTCCCCTGTCATTTCTCTGTATTGCTCCATCATGCTTTTTTGCTTTAGTTCCCTTCAGCTTTGCCATTATGTGCACACTTACAGCATGGAACATGTTGCAATAATAGAATATATTTTGAGCCACTTGGTGATCTCCCATGCTTGCCATGAAAAAGAAACCAGCTTCTACAGAGCTCCCATGGGCAAGTCACTTAATCTTTCTCCATGGCTAAGATCCCTACCTCATAGAGGGATTGTAAGGGTAAATTAATTAATGTTGGTAAGTGCTCAGATACTGCAATGAAGGGGGCAATGGATGGATGGAATAGATTAGTGTCCTGTGGTAGGGCTCCCAACTCACAATGGATCAGTACTGGGTTCCTGGCACTCCTGCCCTTTACTGATTTGTTTAAACAGGGAGCCATTATTGGGTCTTTACTTAGCACTTTGCTGATGCAGCAGGTAAGAGAATAGTCTGAGAACCTGTGTTCTCCTGTTTACAATAGGGAGCTGCTCATGCAGTACAGTTGTGCTGGAACTGTTTGCTTTCAGCAGTCTGAGACACTCACATTGGGATGGATAATCAGGAGGGTGTGATGGGGGCCTTAGATGTGTAACAGGAGAGGAGAGTTCTTCTCTATCTTCTTCTTCCTCACCAAATTGCTGGTCTCTTTCTCAGAGAGACAAGAGAAGAGATAGGGAAGAAGCAAATGAGGAGTTTCCTCTCCCCAGGAAAGGAGTAGAGAGCTCTCCTCAAGCTGGAGAGGGAAGTGCCCTGCAGAACGGGGGTGAGAATAGTGTGGAAAGCGGGGTCAAAAAAGACACATGAGGGCAGATATATGCTTCCGATTCCTTTCCTTCTGTCCCCTATAGAGATCTGTACCAACATGACTACTTTTTCCAGGCCCCCACTTAGTCAATCTGATTAATCTCAGATTGGCCTGGGTTCTATTACTGGGGTGAGATCTTCAACCCCACTGTGATCCCTTTGTGTTGGATAAAAGGGCCTGAGCAGTGTAAATGGGTTCCAGAAGTCCTGGATCTAATGTGTGGAGAATTCCCCTGGCCATGAGTATTGCAATACTGTCTTCCAAAGACCCCCTCAAAAGCCCTGGCACAGGGGCATGCTAGGCACAGGTTGGACATGCTGAGGACAGGTGGGGCCATAGCACTTAGCACTTCAGAGATTCTGAGCAGCTTTACTGCCCATAAGGCAGCATGAGAAGGCTGCCCTAACCTAGAGGCACAGCACACAATCTCATCCCTCTGGTATTTAAATCTCCGTGTTGGAGATTGTTAAGACTGCAAGCGCTGTGAATGCTTCATGTCCTAATAGGGAACCTCAAGTCTCTCATTAGGGACCCCTACTAGTTGATGACTGAGCTGCTGTGAAAAGCTTTCTTCTTTCATTAGAAAATAGTGACAAGTCAAATTAGTGAATGCTTCCACTGTTAATTTCAAATTTTTGTTTTTTGTAGGGAAGTGGCAGCAGACAACTGTAGATATTAAAAAGTAGTTGTTACTTTTAATATATGTTCATTAGAGTTCAGTAGAACTACTCGTGTGCTTAAATATAAGCATATGCATAAATCTATGTGGGATTGGGGCCTAAAACATTTACAGGTTAATAGCATTTAGTGTCTTGGCTTATTGCAGCTGCTGTTCTTTCCCACTGTCACAGGCTACCCTGACCCTGAGGTAATCTGGTACAAAGATGACCAATCTATTAAAGAGTCTCGTCACTTCCAGATAGATTATGATGAGGATGGGAACTGTTCTTTGACTATTTCTGAAGTTTGTGGGGACGATGATGCCAAATACACCTGCAAAGCTGTTAATAGCCTTGGGGAAGCAACTTGTACCGCAGAACTCCTTGTGGAAACAATGGGAAAAGAAGAAGAGGAGGAGGAAGAGGAAGAAGAAGAATGAAACAAGACTCAAAGGAGAAGATATTTGAAAAATCACATTATAAAGACTATATCTCTAAAGCTCAGAAAACCAAGTTATTAAAAACACCTAGTGTGATACATCATTAGGGGGGAAGGTGTTGTTTTTTCAGCATTATCAGTTGATACCTGTTTGTTTTATTTATGGGCATTAAGTGGAAACAGCAGGCACTTTAAGTTGCTATGGTGATTGGATTTAGTTTAAGTAAGTCGGTTGTTGCCCAGCCTATTTTTAATGTGAAAGTATCATACTAACCTACGATTATAACCTGCATTTATAAATACCCTATTTATTGAGCTCATTCATTTGCACCGTCACTCTCATCAACCAATACTATAGCTGTGGTGGCTCCCTGAGATCTACATTTATCTCTATGCCCAGAAATCTTTTATCAAACACACACAAAGATTCTTTTGGTCTTAATACAATTGAACCCTCCCATAGTAAAGTCATTCTTCACATAAGTTAACTATGAGGGAAGGTTACACTATAACCAGCATTGCAGTTTGCACGCTGTAATAAAATGAAACAATCTTAGTCTTTCCTCCTCTTTAAAATAGTTTCACTGTCTGACCTTTACACACACTTAGCTCTTCCAATTTGCTATTAGTGTATTACTAATTCCACTAATCCTAGACCTCCATGAGTTTGTATGAGCTGATATTTCTTTCCTCACCTTTAACCAAGTGATTTAACTTCTCTACTTTCTCTTGAGGTGTCTGTTACCCTGGTACAGATACATATGTCTGCTTCAGAAACAAACTGAAAATTTAAAGAACCAGAAACCTTGCAGTTGTGCTTGTCATTTTAATAAAGATTCATAGTTCATATAAGTGCTGCTAGGAACTATAGGTTATTGTACATCCATTAACTTTTATCTGTGTGTGGAAACCTAGTTTAGTTAAAAATGTACTTGTACTTAATCTGGCCATTATAAAACAGATCTCAACTGATGATTAGCTGGAAATTGCCACAGATTTTTGGAGTAGCCAAAAAAAAAAGTAGTTTGGATTACAAACTTCTTTATGCCAAGCAATTACCAAAGAATGTGCTTGACAGTCTAGTTTTCATCTTGAGCCTGTCAGGAAGGCTGATGTCCTCAAAACATTTTTGCAAAAAACAAAAACAAAAAAATCCAGAAAATGTTTTTCTTCTCAAAAGTGATTAATGCACTCAGACTGAGTAACTTTCCTTTCCTCTCACACTATTGGCACTTGTTAATTCTTTTTGTTCAAGAGTAATATCAGAGGCCATACGATGATATGCATAATCCAATGAGAATACATTTCCAGTATCTGTACATCATTCCAAATGTATGTTTTTTTCCTTTTTTCCACTTTTTGTGTGTAGAGTACAACAATTTTAAATTTCAAGGAGTACCTTTAAAAAAAAACAACTTAACTTAGTTCCACAAATTAAAGTATCAAGTGTACTTTTATACAGATGTATATGATATCAACTTTAGGATGTTTGATATTACCTAGTTTTGTGTTTTATATTATTTGCTCTTCTACATGTCTTTAAAGTAAAATCAAGGTCAACTAATGTGGATCACACAATGTTTTTTTAAATAACTGCTTAGCTCTTTGTTGCTAGGTTCAATTTGCCAGCACCAGCATGTCTTTTCCTTTTAAATGGGTAAAGAACTCTTGTTATACTAAACACAATATTGCCACTACTCCTTATAAGGAAAGGTTTTTTAAATCTGATTTAGAGCATACAGAGTTTTCCTCACATGTTTTAAATGTGTTTAGGTAACAATGGGGTGTCTTTTGTACCTTAATAAAATATGCAAATGTTTTCCCATTTTGTTAAACCATCAGAATTGGGAGAAATGAGAACACTACAGCTGTAGTTACTCACGATTTTTAAATAAATAATACCACAAAGCATGCTGTTTGTATAATCAATGCAGACTCCAGTTTATTCACCCAGGCTGAGGAAGGCAAACAGGATCTCTCCTGATTCTCTCCTATACAGAGATCTACTTAGCACAGGAATGGGGGGAAGAAAGAGTGGCAGGGGTTATGCCTCCGATTCTCATGGTGCATCTGCTACCCGTTCAGGCCTATGGAGATAAATTAGAGCTAGTAGGAGCTGCACTAATTTACACCACTGGCTATAATCACTATGGGACCATAAATTAGAGAATTTGCAGAGCATGGGCTGGAGGAACTTCTCAATTGGCCAGTTAGGGCCAACTTCTAGCACTTTGTGCTACTTCAACAGCTCAAAATGGCTGGAACAGGAGGAGAGAATCTGTCCCAAAGTTCAGACAAGTGTATGTGTAGATTAGGGTGACCAGATAGCAAGTGTGAAAAATCAGGACACTTTTTTTTTGGAGGGGGGGAGGCGAGGGTTGTTGCTTATATAAGACAAAGCCCCATATATCGGGACATCTGGTCACCCTAGTGTAGATATATAAAAAAGTTATGCTCCTGCAAGCTGTGAAGTCAAGCATATTTACCACTTGTGGTTCCTTTTCATGAAAGAACGTATACAATTCTCTAACGTATGATAATAGTCCAGGCACCATGCAGAACATGCCCAAGATAAAACTCAATGTGTTCGAGAAATATTCCAACTGTTTTTATAGAAATGCATATCTTAAGCAATACTTTAACATTCGAGAAGCAGTGGTGATTTGAAGAATCAGGGCCTAAACAGACTTATGCATGTGCTTAACTTTATTCATTGAGTCAGAGACTACTCATTTACTTCAAGGTAAACATTTGCAGGATTGGAGTTTTAGATGAGGCTTCTGCTGATGCATCCACCTGCAACAGTACAGCTGATGCCTCATGCTCCAAGGCACGGTTCCTTGCACAGACTCGCTCACTTTACACCTGCTTCTATTTTCTCTGCCTCAAATTCAACTCTCCTCACTTAAAGCACAAAAAAATCCTGGAGGCTGGAATAGTGGCCACTGCCTTCTGCTACTTCCATGCAAAGACTCCATTGTATGGCCACCCCTGCTTGCCCAGAAAGAAGATATCACAGGACTTAAATGGTACAGTTCTCCAGTCTTTAGTGAATTTCACCCTCTGAAACCATAGGAACAAAAAAGAAAGCATTTTGAAAGACATTTGCCTACACCAGGGTTTTCAACCTTTTTTCATTTGCAGATCCCTAAAAAATTTGAAAGGGAGGTGCAGATCCCTTTGAAAAGCTTAGACATAGTCTCCTGACACCCTGGGTTTGGTGGACCACAGTTGAAAATCACTGTTCTATGGCAACAACAACATTTCATAGACCCCTTATACATAGTCTGTGGATCCGCATGGATCCACGGACTTCAGGTTGAAAACCACTGGCCTACACCATTAATGACCCAACAGAGCCTTATTCCTAGACCTCACTGAAATTTCTTTACATATTTAGTTAAAGAATCCATGCTATAACTATTATTGCCTTAAAAACTGATGTTTTTGTAAGTCTTCTTTAAGGTCCTTGAGCCAAATTGCCTTTAGATATATGCACATAGCGCACTGAATTCAGTGGGAATTGTATTTGTTTATGTGAAAGCAGACTTTGGACTTTGCTCATGCTGTATCTATGAGACAATGTCGTGTGTGTGCATGTATCTATACTGTAGACACTAATTTTCTCATAAAGCAGCCACACTATAAAGCACCTGTAGCATAGAAGATAAAGTGAGAACTACAGTGGGAGACTGAAGTAATTCCATAAAATATTTATAATTTCAGTAAAAGAAAGGATTTAATTTTCTCCCTTCATTGCTGTACTTTGTAAATTAAAAAATAAGAATCTGGTAATATAAAACAAATAGTTATACTAGGTCTAACGAGCCACTGAAAGTTGTGGAGTGAGATCAAGAAGAGAGATTTTACCTTTTATTTTTAAAAATTGCATTAAAAAGTCATATATCATTCTATTGAATGAATGGATTATACTTTTTTTTTAAATAAAAGAGTAACTGTGCATTTTATTCCATAATCCACATTTCAGTCCTCTGCTGGTCTCTCAAGCAGATCCACATGGGCACCTGCTCCAAACCCAGCTGAAGTTAAATGTGGGTTCTGCCCATAGATCAGGCTAAGCCATTAGTGGTTAGAGGACTGGGAGTCAGGCAACCTAGAGTCTAGTCCCAACTCTGCCCTTGACTTTAAGGGCTTGGCTACACTTGAGAGTTAGAGCGCATTAAAGCAGCCCCAGGTGCCCTAACTCCTGACCCGTCCACACTGGCAAGGCACTTAGAGCACCTGGACTCTGCAGCTGGAGAGCTGCTGGTACTCCACCTCCACGAGAAGCATAACACTTGCTGTGCCCCGGCTGGAGCGATGCGGTGCCAGTGTGAATGAGGTGTTGCATTATTGCGCTCTGATTGAGCTCCGGAAACGTCCCATAATCCCCTTAAGTCAAGTGGCCACTCTTGTCATTGTTTTGAACTCGCTGTAGGAATGCAGGTGTGCCCTTTCAAAGCTCCATTTCTGACAGCTGGCTGCTTATCTGCTCTGGGACAAAGGAACCATTACTGAGGAATGCTGCATGCTTTGAGTGAGTGAGAGAGAGGCGGGGAGCAGGAGGAGGTCTGCTGCTCTCTGAACTTACAAGACAGCATGCTGATGCTCTCAGCCCTGCAAAAACCCACTCTCTCTCCTACCACATACACACAACACACTCCCTGTCATGCTCCACCCCTCTCTGCATTTGAAAAGCACCCCTTGCAGCCACTTGCATGCTGGGATAGCTATCACAATGCACTGCTCTTTGTGGTCTTGCAAGAGCTGGTAATGTGGCCACGGCAGCGTACTTCCAGCTGAGAGTGTAAATACTCTGCAGCGTTTTCCCTGCTGTGGTCCCTGAAGGCTGGTTTAACTCCCAGCACTCTACAACTGCAAGTGTATTGTGTAACTGGGATGCCAGTCACTTAGCCACTCTGGCCCCATTCAAATCAGGACGTTGGCAATTGACTTGAATAGGACCAAAATTTCATCATTTATCTTCTCAGGTACAACGCTAACACCGTCTTTCTCCACCCGTGCAATGCACTTGGGGCTTCTCAGCAGACTACTCTATAAAGACAAAAAGAAAAGGAGTACTTGTGGCACCTTAGAGACTAACCAATTTATTTGAGCATGAGCTTTCGTGAGCTACAGCTCACTTCATCGGATGCATACTGTGGAAACTGCAGCAGACTTTATATATACACAGAGAATATGGAGGAGGTATTGTTTCATGATCTCTGTGTATATATAAAGTCTGCTGCAGTTTCCACGGTATGCATCCGATGAAGTGAGCTGTAGCTCACGAAAGCTCATGCTCAAATAAATTGGTTAGTCTCTAAGGTGCCACTGGTACTCCTTTTCTTTTTGCGAATACAGACTCACACGGCTGTTCCTCTGAAACCTGTCTATAAAGACAAAGCATCACTGTTTCCAACTCTTCCCGAATCTGGTAATATTTGATGTTTTTTCTTAAAGCCCCAACTCATGGAGTCATGTGACTACAGAAAAAGCTCAACCTTCCTTTAAAAACAGAGACGTGCCCAGCCCCTGGGGTTGCAGAGCAAAGCTTAAAGCATGAAACTTACCACGGCTGAATCTAGAAAGAAAAGACACAGAACCCCCAAGCACTAAACAGGGGAGGGGGGTGGTGTCATGGTTTTTAAATGCTCGGGAATGCAGGTTCCTATGACTCAGGGGGCGACAGCGCAGGGGTGGGGGCCACTCTCATCACGAGGAGTCCCCCCCCTCACAGGTCTCCCATTTGACACCAGGCTGCCGCTTGGCGGGAGCGGGCGGCAGCTCTGCCCTGGCCCGAGCTGGCGGCGGGCGCCTCAGCGCGCAGGGCCGGGCGGGGAGGGGGAGGGGCGAGGGGCAGGGCCGCCGGGCGGCGGTTACTGGGCAGGGCGACAAACATGGCGGCGTCTGGGAGCAGCAGCGCTGGCCGGGCGGATAACGGCTACGGGAGCCAGCAGCCCCGGCGGAGGAAGGGCCCGGGCGCCCTGGCCACGACCTATCTGGTCATTTACAACGTGGTGATGACGGCGGGGTAAGACGGGGCGAGGCGCGGCTCCCGCCTACTCTATCCGCAGGGTCCCGCGCTAGCCGGGGCGGACCCCGCATCCCCCGCCGGGGACGCCAACTCCCTCCCCCCGTGAGTCCGTAGTAGCCCCGGGACCCGGCCTCCTCCTGCCTAGCCTGGCCCCGGGGCACCAGCCTTCGCCCGCCGGGCCCTAGCTCCTTCGCCACCCCGGGTCTCGCCGAAGCGCTCCTCAGGGGCTGCCGCTCTCCAGCGGCTGCGGCGCTTGGCTGAGGGGCGGGTTTCAGAGCCGAGGTAGGGAGGGCAGGTGTCCGCCTTCCTCAGCCCGGAGCCCCACCTCTAGAAACCGCCCTTCTGTCCCGAGGAGAAGCTGTTCGCGGGTGCAGCCAAATCCGCCCTGACAGGAGGTTTGGGGCGGATTCTTCATCGCTGACCATTTTTAAAGTCAAGATATTGGATGGTCTCCTAAAAGATCTGCCCTAGGAATTATTTGGGGGTGGGGGACGCTCTGTGGCCTGTGTTATACAGGAGGTCAGACTAGATCAGTGGTTTTCACGCTTTTTTCTGGGGGCCCAGTTGAAGAAAATTGTTGATGCCCCTGACCCAAGGGAGCTGGGGCGGAGGGGTTTGGGGTGTGGGAGGGGCTCAGGGCTGGGGCAGAGGGTTGGGGTGTGGTGGGTTGGGGTGCTGGAGTGGGGCTAGGAATGAGGGGTTCAGCGTGTGGGAGGGGGCTCTGGGCTGGGGCAGTGGGTTGGGGTGCTGGAGTGGGGCAGGGTTCTGGGCTGGGGGTGCAGGCTCTGCGCTGGGGATGACGGGCTTAGGGTGCAAGAGGGAGCTTTTGGTTTGGGGGGCTCAAGGCTGGGCCAGGGAGCTGGGTTGGGGGTGCAGGCTTGAGGGTGGGGCCAGGGATGAGGGGGTTGGAGTGCAGGAAGGGGCTCCAAGTTTGGGGGCTCAGGGCTGGGGCAGGGAATTGGGGTGCAGGCTTACCTCTGGTGGCTCCCGGTCAGTGGCGCAGATGGGGTGCAGAGGCAGGCTTCCCGCCTGTCCTGGCTCCTGTCCTGGCTCCACGGACCACGCTGTGCCCTAGTGTGGAGATGGTGCCTGGGGTGGGGACAGCGCATGGAGCCCTGTGGTCCCTGTGCCTAAGATCTGGACCTGTTGCTAGCTGCTTCCAGCTAGGGATTACTAGTTTTACTACTAGTTTTTACTGGCTGCCCGCAAGGGTCCCTGGGTGCTGAGCAAGGCAACCCAGTGCCTTTCATTCCGCAACCCAGTACTGGGTTGTGACCCAAACCACTGGACTAGATCATCACAATGGTCCTGTCTGACCTTGGAGTCTCCAAAATAATAAATAAGTGATGACTGGGGACTGTCAAAATGGGCCAATTTGAGTGAGACCTTTTTTTAAAAAGAGATTTTAGGATCTTGCTGAAACATACACAGAGTGAAAATCTTCCTTTGCAAGGAGGAAGGACTTGGGGAGGGAGCCTAAAAATGAACCCTAAATAAGGGATCTTCCAGATAACTGAGACTTGGTCTGTGTGATGCCGGGCAAACAAATCTGACAGATCTTGCTCCTTTGGAGGAAGATGCTCTCATTTATGGTTAGTGCTCATGAGGTTTCAAGTACCTCCCTTTTGTGATGAAACTTATCTTGTTACATGTTTCAGCAGGACACAGAGTGCAATGCTTATTTTTAAATCTTTATTAAAATAGTCTCATGTCAGCACACATCACTGATGGTGAAGCTGGTGGATTTCAACTTGCTGGATGATTTTACTTTCCCTTAGGCATCGGTGTACTACAAGAGGGTCCAACCCACATCAGGCATGCAAAGCTATGCATGAGAATAAATCTATTGTGAAATGTATAATGTATGCACATTTATGATATAAACTGTGATTACCTAATGGACAGAAAAATTTCTGTCTTCCTTTCTGGTATAATTAAACTGTTTGTTTCATAAATGTGCTATTATATGAGCAGTAAATAAAATACACAGCTGTAAGTCAGGAGCTCTGGTTTTCTTTCCATTTTGCTGTGATGTTCCTATATGACTTTAGCTAAATTAATCTCTCTGAGCTTGTTACTCCCCATTTTACGGATGCAAAAACACTTGCCTGAATCATGGGGCTGCTGTGAACTTTAATTCATTTGTTTGTAAAGTGCCTTGAGAGCCCCTTATGAATTTTGTAGAAATGCAAAGTTGTTACATTCACATACACACAAATTTTATTAAAATGCAACAATTACTTTCTACACCTTAAAAAACAAACACACAAGTGGGAGGTTATCTGGAAGTAAATAGCTAAAGGATTAGACGTTTCCCTGCTGCCATATAATTCTTTATCACTTGTTCTAACCTCCTTTTCTGATTTTTTTGCCTAACTTTCCAGGTAACTGCACACTCATGAGGTGTGGCATGCAAAATTTCAGGAGGGCTGTTTTTGCTTTGGGGAAGCTTGTGGCAGTGGAATGAAGAAGCATAGCTCAATGGTTAGGGCACTAGCTTAGAATTTGGAATTAAAACCAAGTCCCCAGATAGAATTCCTGTGAGACCTTGGGCAAGTCTCTGTTCCTCAGTTTCCCCATCTGAAAAATGAGGATAATAGTTCTTGTCTACCTCACAGGAGGGTGTTGTGGGGATGACTATCATAAAGACTGTGAGGTGCTCAATACTATGGTGAAGGAGACTGTATAAGTACCCAAGGTAGATAATTTTATTTTTTTTAATGGAGTTAGTTTCAGACTGTATAATTACATATATATTAAAGGGATGAGAGTTAAATATTTTTTAAGTACCTTACCTGTTAGTAACATCTTTTTTTAGAACAGAATGAGTGTTGATCAAAACTTGATTTTCATGTTTGTTTTGTGTTTCTCTGAACTTAGACCCCAGGGATGGGGAACCTTTTTTGTGTCATGGGCTGTTGACCCACAGAAAAAAATAAATTGCGGACCACTAACCTACTCAGGGGGACGCAGAGGCTCAGGGTTTCCCTCTTCAGTGGGCCGGATGAAATTAATCAATGGGCCAGATCTGGGCTGTGGGTTCCCCATCACTGACTTAGACAGTGAACATAGATTAGTCCCTTTTAGGCTTATTTATTAGTCAGTGTCTAATTTTTTTTGCACGTTCTCCTACATCAACACAATGCTGCATTATTGGATTCCCAAAAAATTTTGTGGTGTGGGGAGGAAGGAATAGGAGAAACATTTCTGTAGGTTGAGGTTTTCTAAATAATTTTTACTTACCTAATTTCAGTCCATATATGACCTGATGGTCTCTTTTGGCAGACAGACAAACCCCACAAAATAGAGAAGAATCTGTTAATGTTTTAATTTTGTTTTGTAACTGAATGTTACAATATAAAAAAGTTTTTCCTAAAAGTGGCTGTTAAGTTGTTCTAAAGAATGCCAGTAAGGATTTTTTTTTTAATGTGGCTACAGCTTTGTGGGCATATGAGGGATAATGGAGGAACTTTCATTTTAAGCTCTTTACGAAACAAAAAAGTGACAGTCTCTCTCATAAAGTGCCATGGTTGCTCTTCTATTCCTGGGGGAATTCTGTGCCAAAAAAATTGAAGTGTGCCCACAATATTTTAAAATTCTGTATATTTTATTTAAAATAACAATATAATCATGCCAGTTTCAGTTATTTTGGTAATTTATTTCAAAATACCTGTCAGCAACTATGTCTTTAACAATACTGACACACACAAAAATTCCCCCAAGAGTAACAAGATAAAAAGTTTGGGGACCACTGTCATAGGGATTTCTTTAACTCATCTCCCCCCGCCCTTACTCCTGTCTACCCCCTCGGGACTGGGAGCAGGGTTATGGCTCTGGGACGAGCGGGGGGGATGTGAACAGGGGTAAGGGGGACAAGGCTGGGGCCACATCTGGGGGCGGGGCCAAGAGTGGAGCCTCAGCTGGGGACTTGGGCATGGGGCCGGTAGCCGGGGCCTCCCGCAGAGGCTGGCCCAGGCCTCAGCCACCCCTTCCACCCTCCCACCCCCCCGAATGTTCCTCAGCATGCCCCACAGTTTGGGGACCTCTGCTCTATGACAACCCAGTTCCTGTTTTTCTGCACCCTCCCCACCAGAGCCCAGCCAGGGGGCTAGACACTCACACCCCCTCCCCTCAGAGCCCAACCATGGGGTGCCCCCCAGCCCGGACACCCACACCCTCCCCGAGCCTAGCTGTGCCTCCCCCCCGCCCTCCCTCAGCCTAGACACTCACACCCCCTCCACCCACAGAGCCCAGCTACGGGGCTGCTCTAGCCCAGCCACTCATACCTCCTGCCTTCCCAGAGATCCAGTAGGAGAGAGAGCCTGATGCTGGGTCCTGGGCTTGTACAGAGTTTCCTGCACACGGCCTCCTTCCTTCAGGGCATGCCAGGAACTGCAGCTGCTGGGAACCCTCCAGCTCCCTCCCCCAGCGGTATCTTCTATTTGAGTTTAGGTCAAGAATAAACAGCAGGAGCAGATGAACTCTTAAAAGAATAAAGATCCTGTTTACATGCTGAAGTTCCTATTCATGCCTCCCTCCCACACCAAATAAGCCCCATGTGAAGGAAAAGGCCACAGAAAATTCTATAGAACCATTTCTAAATAAAAGAGCTCACCATGAGGCCTCAGAAATGCTTTAAAAATTAGATATCTAGAATTAGAAATGAATGGGAGGAGCCAAAAACAGGGCACAGATCCGTTCAGCTGTCTGGTTGGAATCCAGAACAGCTCAATGGTTGCAGCCATCTTTCACTGTTTTTGTGCTATATGTTAAAAGGTTTGGTGGTCTTAATCTGTTTTCTGGTGAATGGATGTCCAGATCAACAAAACCCATCTTTACATTAGTTAACACATGAGTGGCCATGGGAGGCAGAGTATTGGGTTGACATGAATCCTTAACTTCTCCCAGTCCTTAAGGTGGGGGGCCCTTCTAGTTGGTGTTGAGGCATAATGGCGAAGCTTACAAGGTTGCTACCTAAACTGTACCAGTTCAGTGGCTAAACAGAGAACTTGGAATACATCAATTTTGAGGCTTTTGCATGTATACAAAGGATAGCATCGATCTTTGAATGGGAAAGGAAGATAAAGGGAGCAATCAGTTGAGAAGCTTGGGCACAGCATAAGATCTGTGTGGGATGAAAGGAAGTTGAGGACAGAAATACTAAGTGCTTAAAAAAAGAAGCTTTAATTTTGGGCAGATTATTACTTTCAACACTAAACACATTTTAAAATATAGTCATTTATAATTAAAAGAGACTATCATTGAAATCATTGTACCTCACAGCGTTTCTAAAATCATCCATCCAGTAAAGGGGAGAGCAAAAAGCAGGAAAAGGGATGGAGCTACTTTGGAACCCCATGTACTTTACCAGTTGCTTGATATGGGTGGAATCTGAGTCTGCTGTAGGGGGAATCTGTTGTTGTGCCACCACGCGTAACCTGAAGCTTTAGCTCAGTTTCTCAACAAACCTGAAGGATATGAGAGAGAAACAGGCATTTACAGGTATAAACAAGACAATATCAACTTTGACAATTACTAGTTTCAAAGGGAATCCTTGTGTGTTGCAGAGGATAATCTTATTGGTATTACAGTAACATACTGGCATATTTCAAATGGCAATCTTTTGAATAGCTAAATAACCTAACTCTTTACATATAGTAAATGCTTAGTTTATTAAGGCATTGTTCCCATTTTCTAAAAATAGTGGAGATTGAAATAAAATAGCTTTTTAAATTGCACCAATAAATGCTACTCCGTACACATTTTTGGGCCTCAAGGTTCTTTTATTTGGATATTGAAAAGCCTGTGTATTATAACATTAAAAATAAAGTGTAAAAAAAAAAAAAGGTTGATGTTTACCATTGAAGTTGGAATGATGTATGTACACAGTAACATAACATTTAAGGACAAAAAACCTCTTAACCTCTACTTCGCAAATAAACAAGGATAGTAGAAAAATAAAGAAATACTCTCACAGTTCATGCAATGTCTTCAATACCTTTCCATGTGTAAAATCATATTACATACTCAAAAAACTGTATCAGCTCTGTGCTTATCTGCACACTTAGCCTCAGTCTATCAACTAAAGGCTTGTCTACACTTGAAACAGCACAGCTGAGGCGCTTCAGTGTAGACACTATACCTACACCGACAGGAGAAGTTCTCCCACTGGCATAGGTAATCCATCTCTTTGAGAGACAGTAAGTAGGTTGATGGAAGAATTTTTATGTCAGCGTAGTGCTGTCTACACTGGAGATTAGGTTAGTTTAGCTACATCGCTCAGGAGTGTGGATTTTTCACATCCCTGAGCAATGTAAGGTGTGTTACCCTAACTTTTTAGTGTTGACCAGGCCTATAACACCACTTTCTTCTTCACATCCTGCAAAAATCAATCTTAAATTAAAATTCACTGTGTTTTTGTCTGTTAATGTTGTAGTTTATAAAGCTGTTGGGCCAGCATGGGGATACACAAATGTCTTGGCTTTTCATACATCTCTCAGCGCTGCAGAACTGAACTCCCCAGGAGCCTTGCTTTCTGCTGAGTTCACACTGCCCTGAAATTTGAGTTCCTCAGTATCTATGTCCCTCGCTGTCCTGCAGAGCATAGGATCTCTGCAGGCTTATTGGATTTCTGTCTGAGGGACCCAATGAGACATTACACACTGATCAAAATTTCAAATCAGGGAAAGTTAATGACTTGTAACAAACAATTTAACCAATTTCAGATCTTGCAGAAAAGTTCTCCTTCGTCTTTAGAGTAAACTTGGCAATTTTCCTAACAAGTTATAGGTGAATTAAAATTAGGGTTTATGATTCAACCCTGGTTGCAACCTTAACTATGGATTCATTTATAGGATACCATAATAGTCTTTCTTGGAGTATTAAAAATATTTTATTACTTTGTCCATATTATTGAGAGAGATAATATGTGGTAATATTGTACTATGTGCGTCTTTCGTCTGCCATTTGTTTTTTAATTGAACATTATGCGGGTTCTTTTTCTGTCCTGAGGACTTTACTCACCAGGTTCAGTTTACCTAGAGGAACTTCTTTACCTGTAGCAGTTTCAGATAAAACTAAGAAATTAAAAATAAAGACTGACAGGCTGTCATGTACATTGAATGGGGAGGCTTATGATGAATGGGGAGGATTACATTGAATCACAACCCTAAAATGAATGTCTTTTAAAATTTAATTTCCTATTTATATGGCAGGCTTCATAAAGCTATAGTATTGTAAGATCTCTGAACATCAGTAAATATTTATTGTTTGGCTGCTTGATAATTACCAAGTAATTAAACCCTCTAAAAGGGCTCTATTATGTAAACTTGAAGACAACATTAATTTTAATGGCATGAACACCCCACAATAACTAAATTATAATTAAGGGTTATAAAGGGATAATTTTTATTTTTACCACGGTGTTAAGGATATTTTTGTATGCTCAGTACTAGTAAGATATTCAAAAAGTGCATAAGACTTAACTCTTAAAAAGTGATGGCTTGTATACATTCAAACTTTGACAGGTTTCAGAGTAGCAGCCATGTTAGTCTGTATCTGCAAAAAGAACAGGAGTACTTGTGGCACCTTAGAGACGAACAAATTTATTAGAGCATAAGCTTTTGTGGGCTACAGCTCACTTCATCGGACGCATAGAATGGAACATATAGTAAGAAACTTTGAAGTCTTTGCAGGATTTCAGGATGTTGGCCAACTGTTGACATTGTGCAGGATTGCTGTATGACTGTTAACTGAAACCTAGCTGATAAGGATGGGAAACTGTTTTTCTAGGTCAGAGGATAACTTTAGCTTTGCTCATTCTCAGGATATGTGCTCAATTTAATATCCCCTTCAGTCTTTTCTTCTCTTTTTCCAGATGGCTTGTTATAGCAGTTGGTCTAGTCCGAGCATATCTGACTAAGGGTAGCTACCATAGTCTTTACTACTCAATAGAAAAGCCCTTGAAATTCTTCCAAACTGGAGCTCTGCTTGAGGTAGGTATAGATTGTTTTTTGTTTTTTTTTAATGTTGCTGACAACTACATGAGTGTTAGGTGAGACAAAGTGACAAGCCATTGTTAAACATCACTTCATTTTGAATGATCATCTGTTAATAATTAGCACTGTTTATTTTCAGTGCACTTTACATATATTAATGAAATAAGTCATATGCCTCTGTGAGATGGGTTTTTATCCCCATTTTACAGGTGGGTCGACAATAAAGTAATGGAACTTGCTCTATTCTACAAAGATAGACAGTGTCAAAGCTGAAATTTTATGGCCAGTATTTTTCTGGAAAACTAGATGTTAACACTTGAAAACTGCAGCAAGTAGTGGGAACTTTGAAAGACTCCCAATTATAGTAGTGTTAGTGGATACTGTTCTGATAAAGCTAACTGTTTTAAAAATGATTAAACATGAAGTATCTCTGCTATTGATTTGAATTTTCTTTTTGTTCTAGATTCTACATTGTGCATTTGGTAAGCTTGGAATTGATTTTTCTGTTTTTCTCATGAAAAAATGCTGTTTTAATTTTTTTTTAACTAATCATCATTCAGTTTGTTACTAATATTATGGAGTAAATTCCCAGTTTCATTCTTGCAAACTTTTCTGGCTTCTGAATGCAGTAGTATTAATTTCAGTTGTCTCCTACTAAAATATTATTTGGTAAATATTAATTCTAGTTGACAAAGAACTTTAGGGAAATCACAATTTTAAAATTTGGCCAAACTAAAAGTAAATAATTACAAAGAGAGATAAAAGAACTTAATGAACACTTATATAGCCTTTCATTGACAGTGAATCTTGAAGTGCTTTATCAATGCAGTACAGAACTCCGCAGTCATTTCCTTAATTTACCCATCTTTATGATTCTTTGTATCACTCTTCCTTTCCCAAAAACCCTTCTTCATGTAGGAAGCTAAAATATCAGATGACTGTGAGCATAATTGCAATCCCTGACTTCTACTACATGATCCAAAACAGAGTCAAGACACACTATCTTTTTAGAATTTATCTACAGGTTTTTTTGAGTTTTCTGACATTTAGCTGCAATTGGTTATCTTTGAACTGGGAGGTAAATTCCAATAGAATATAAAACTCCATGTATTTTAGATCTTATTTGATCCAACGTTCTGTAGTTACAGTAGCGCAGGAGGGTCACTATAGGGAAAGGTTGCATCAATACATCTGTTTAAAAGGTGGAGCTTTCAAAGTCCTCTAAAACTGACATGGTTAGTTGGATTTCTTTGAAATTTGGTACATCTCAGGAGAGTGCCACATAGGGTTAGAGAGCCAAATCTGGAGTAAGTTGATCAAGGGGTTCCAAAGATATAACCTTCCTTTTCCCCCCCCAAATAGCTCTATTTAAAAAAGCTTCTAGGTGGGCTTTTTTTGCCTAGAGCTAGAGCTCAAACTATTGATGTGATGTGGGTCAAAATTGTGTCAATGTGCCAAGTTTTACCTGAGGTAGTATATGGCACCTACTAAATCTTTGGGGGACCCAAATTAATGACAGTATTTAGGAAAATCTACATGTTTTTTTACACTATGCATGCACCCATACAAAAAAACTGCTAGAGTGTTTTCATTCCTGCCATTTTATATGCTTTAAATTCAACTCTTGTAAGTTTTGCAAAATCCTAACAATTCCTCAGATTGTTTTGAAATTTGATGTGCCATGTGGGAGTGTGGGGTAACATTAGTAGTCCAAAACCTGGTTCCTTCTGCAGCTTTGTACTCTTAAAGTGAGAGGTACTAATGACTTAATGAATCAGAGACCTCTTAGTGGCTATGAACAAACATTTCAATTAACATATCTAAGGATAAATTATTCCCAAGCCTCCATCCAAGGGTATATCTACACTTAATACGCTTCCGTGACGCTGCTGCACCTCCCTGAGAGATGGTAGCTAGATCAATGGAAGAATTGTTCCATTGGCCTAGCATCGTCTACACCGGGGGTTAGGTCAGTATAGCTGCACCTCTCAGAGGTGTGGATTTTTCACCCCCATGAGAGACGAAGCTACACCAAAGTAAATTCCTAGGATAGACCCAGCCTAAGAGAAAAGGAGACTTGGACTGAATGGCTGGAGATTGCTGCGCTTTGTGAGTAACAGGTGGCATTTCATTTTGGCGGGACTATAATCAAAGTATTTGGAGTGGAAAATTAGACATGTGAGCAAGAGGAGTAGGGTAATGGGGATGGATGGTAGAAGATGTGAGAAAGTTTGGGGACTCAGGTGAAGGAGGCCTGGCACTCCCTGCTCTGCCAGTGCATCCCAACCTTCCTAGACCCCAACCCCCTTGTACCCCACATATCAGACAGTACACCCCACTCTCTGCACTCCCAGCTCTGCCAGTGCACCACAATTCCCCTGCATCCCAGCCTGCCTACACTCCTCTGTTCTGCCAGTGCACCCCAACCCCCTGCGCCCTGTCTATGCTAGTGAACCCCGACCCCCTTCACTCCCTAGTTCTGCCAGTGGAACCCAACCACCTGCAATCCAGCCCACCTGTAGCCTCCAGCTCTGCCAGTGCACCCCTCAACACTGCATGAAACCTATTAATAAATGTTTGAACATTGATTGGGAGAAATTGGAGAGTTCACTGCCGACCAGAAAAGTGTACTGTATGGCATAAACATTACAAGCTCTGAGGCCTCACTGTTTCTCAGAAATGGGGTACATCTATTGGACAGGGGTCAGAGATTCTTTCTCTCAAACATAAAACTATCAGTATTTTGGAACAGAAACCCTGCCTGCATCTTCTGTCACTGGCCCTGCCACAAACTTGGCCCATCAACCATTGTGAAACATGACCAGGAATACTGTACTGTTGTAATGTAGTTGTCCTGTGCTCCAGGCACTACATGGAGTCTGGTTATGGGTGTTTGGAGCGGGGGAAGCTTGTGGCAATAGAAACCTTTATATACCGGGGAGTGAAGACTTCAGAAGGACGTGTTCCCTGTTTGTGGTGTGGAAGCTTGGGTACAGTAGTGGGAAGGGGCCAGGTTGCAGGACGGAACTCAATGAATGGATCATGGGTGTGGCTTGGGAGGTGTGCCGAAGCAAGGCTGGTGGGCACAGTTGGGATGTGTGTGGGTGCGTGTTGGGGGCAAAGAGGCTGGCTCACTATGCTAATTGCAGGACATATATACAACTGACTAATTGACTACTCCTAACACCAACATTTATTTTCCTATTTAAAAAAGCTAGGAAATTCATTGGCAAAAAGCTGCATTAATGTAAAGGTAAGGTTGTTTGGTGGTATGTCTTTACCTTGCAGAATGCTGAGGTGAGCAAAACTCAAACTTCTGAAAAGCAGGAACTGCAGAGTTAAAGTTGCCCATGCACCCTTAACTGCTCTCCTTCAGCAGTGCTCTGGGACACCCCATTAACACACACATCTTTACTATTCTATCCCCACAATTGCTGAAATGTACAAGCTCTTCACTTCCTTTTACAACCCATTCACTCTCAACCACAGGATTCCATCAAACACTATTAAAGGACAAAAAGGAAAAAAAAAAGGTTACCCACACAATCTTTCCTCTACCCTCTTCAAGCAATGCCTGTTATATTAATTAAATGGGCATAATCTATTCACTGTCCAACATTACAGAGTTAAATGATCTGGGGTTTGATATACAGAGACCTCAGCCTGCTTAATACTATGGCAAACACACTATACAACTGAGACCAAAGGTTAGAAATTTATTGATTGAAACACACACACGAAAAAGAATAAAAATGAAGTAAAGAGTATTAGAACTGAAACTGATTATTTAAGCAAAACAAATTAAATCAAAACCTATCAAAGGCCTTTCTGGAGACAGTGAGTAAGATAGTTTAAACCCTCTTATTCAGTCAAACAGCCCATCTTGGTAGGGTAGAAAGAGTTAGTTCTATTCAATTCTGAATTCAGAATAATAGTCTCATTCATGCCTTAGATAAAATAAACATACCTAAGAGAGAAAAGATAGGATAGTAAAGATGAGGGATGATGGCTTTTGTTATGTTCTCAGGATACAGGGTGGCTGGTCAGTCACAGATGGATGCTTTCGAGCTGGCATGTCGGCATGACAACTGTTGTTCTAGATGCTGGATCATCTCCCTGATCAGGGACATCCATCTGGTTGGTCTGGTCAGGTCCCTCTCCTTCACTGGTCTTTCTCAGTCTGGGCAGACCTGAAAGGGTCATGTCATCTCACCATCGCTGGTGCCAGTGGAAAGCAGAGAAAGAGAGAGAGAAACAGGACAGGAGAAAAATCTGGGGGTCCAGAGAGAAGCACACAAGGGAAGGAAAGTCAATGCAGGATCTCACATGTATCAGGTTGGAGTCCTCGCTCTGATGATGGTCAGGCATCCCCACTGGAGTTTCTAGGTCTGGTGTTATGGCAACAATCATTCTGTCGCAGCTGCAGTTATGGTAAAAAGTTCTCCCTGTCTTCTCCCCCAAAGTCTCTATTTAAGAATACTTCCCCCCCCCCCCAAAAAAAAAAAAAAAAGGGAATGATGAGCAAAATAGTCCATCCACCAATTAGGCCTAATTTCTGGCATCCCAATTTTGGTTTCTTGATTTCCAGTGTTTTACTCCTCTTGTTTACTAGTCATAATCTTAAAATAGTCCTTTTTGTTTAAATTAATTCAGTATTTCTGTCTCCTCACATCTTTTCTTAAACAGTTTTATATGATAGATCATTGCAACAATTCATGAACCTTTTACCCATTTTTCAACAATTGAGTTTACAGTTTGGGTAAATTTGTATGCCCAATTATAATTGGGAATCCCTCAAAGTCAAGGATGATTGTCTTTCATGGATTGTCCATTTCAGATTATCTGTGGGTCCACTGATGGCTGGTAAGGCCTATTCTGGAGCTGCAGACTCTGCCACATTGCAGACATGTTTCCCAGCAGGGTGGTTGAACCTGAAGTATTGATTTGGGCTATAGCCCGCTCTTTCTTTCACTTCCGTTTTTCCGTTATATGTAGTCGCATTTGATTCTCGAAGTGCTGAGTTCCCTGCCTTAAGCAGCTCCTCCATTGTTGTTGGTCCTGGGTTATACATAAGGCTACATATTTGTCACGGAGGTCATGGAAGTCACGAATTCCGTGACTTTTTCCACCATGGCAGGGCTGGAGCAGCTGTCAGGCCGGGGGTGCAGCAGTCCCCCGAGCAAGGGTCCCCAGGGTCCTAAAAGCAGCTGGCTGACAGCGCTGCTGCAGGAGGGTGCCCGGCAGGACCACCCCTTCCCTCCCCAATCAGCTGGTCAGGAGGGGGCCCCACAGCAGCCACTGGAGCAGCGTCCTTGGGGCAGGAGTACTCTGCCCCCTCTCCCTCACAGGAGCCTGCCCAGCAACTGGCTGTGGACAGCGGTCTCCCCACTCCCGCCCTTCAGAAGCCCACCCAGAAACCAGCCTGTGGACAGTGCCCCCTGCAGGAGCCTGCCCGGCAACAGGCTTGTGGACCGCTCACAGG